ATCCGGATTCTGCGTCTGGACTTGCTGTTTACCGAGGATCGAGCTCATGCGATCCTTGGTTATCCAACTGAGCAGTTGGTGCTGCCGGAGGCTTCTTCTCCGGTTAGACTGACTCCTTTTCTGGTTTTTGTTCCGATTAGTATTCTAACTCTCTTTTTTCCTTGTTTCCATTTATTTTTTGGAACTTTGACCTTTTTATCGTTTTTTTCCATATATATTTTTGCGGGTCGAGCTAGGTGGTTGGGTGCCTCCTACAGCGGAGATCACGTATACCGATGCTGTTGGATCGGTAATTCGTGAGACCCTTCCAGCAGCAGAGGATGACGAGGGGATACCGTTTGTACCTGAGACGGTTGAGTCGGTATGTCTTTTGTATATATGTACTTAAACATTTCTATTTATTTTTGTTTCATATACATTTGTTTATTAACTGTCCTTGTATTCTTGGAATAGGTTCCGCGGGAAACCGTAAACGGCATGGTGAGGACTTTACATGCTTTCGAGCTGCTTATCGGAGAGCCCTCGTGACTTTATCATGTCGTGATCATCGGATGATCGCGGTAAGTTTTATTTCTTTTCTTTTCAACGAAGTTATTACATTTCACGTATTAATCTTCGTTTTGGATTTTGCAGGATGTGCAACAATCGTCTAGTAGTCGCCGAGCACCTTGATTCCTCTTGTACACATATTGTTATTATTTTTTTTAGGAAACAGATGTAATATATATATATATATATATATATATATATATACATATATATATATATATAATATATGTATATATATATATATGTATATATATATGTATATGTATACATATATATATATATATTTTGTTGTACATATGACACATCTGTATATATGTCATCATTTTTTTTTGTTTCCATTTGTACATTATTATTATTTTCCGAGGGAGGGAAAGGGTTCCCCACTTACCCCTCGAATAAACAACCAAACTCGAAAAAGAAGGCGAAAACAAAAAAGAAGAAAAAAGAGAAAAAAGAAAATAAGAAAATAAGGAAGTAGGAAAATAATAATAAAGAAAATAAAAAGAAAAAAAAAGTAGGAGAAAAATAAGAAAAAAGAAAATAAAAAGAAAATAAGAAAATAATAAATAAAAAAAAGAAAATAAAATGAAAATAAGAAAGTAAGAAAAAATAAAAAAAAAAAAGAAAATAAGAGAGTAGGCAAGAAAAGGGACACAAAGTGTTAGAAGGCAAGCGTATGATTCCCCACTCATGAGTTTTGCGTGCCACCTGTTGGTGAACTTTCCTTTAAGCCGAATTTGCCAAAAATTTGCCCCTCTTGGGTCTATTTAAATGTGGTTTCGTGTAGGATTTTGATCATCTCGCATTCATTCGCTTAGTAATATAAGAAACTAAAAAGAATTAATCCCTCTAAATTCACATTTTTTGAAAAATGGTGAAGACCTTTGAGCAACGTTTGAAGCAATGAGTCACTTCCCTTTCAACTGAGGACAAACTAGCTTTCAAAATTTGCCACCTAGACCCTTTATTGAATTATATGCAACTAGTGGTTAACTTTGATTTTCTTCATGCCGCAGTCAATCATTAGGACTCTAACTACCATCTTTTTTTGTTCAAAGGGGGCGAAATTGTCCCCCTTCCCGTTGAGTTCGAGGCCTTGCTAGGTTTCCCTTTAAACACTCTCCCTGTGACTTATTCGCCTACCTTGTCGGATCCCAAACTTATATTCCAAATATTTTTTTGCTTGTCCGACAATGATATGACCAATATTGGAAATGAAGAAGGCGTGAACTTGATTCAATTTATTGAACACTTTGTCGCCCCTCGTGACAACATGACTAAACAACGCTTTAAAATTCGTGCTTTATGTTATTGTCTTGTTGTTAATTGCTTATAACTTAGGACAGGCAAAGAATACGGAGATTATTCCATGGTGTCCATAGTAGAGCAAATAGAGGGATGTCATTCACCCGCTCCTTTGGTTTTGGTAGAAACTTTTCTGTTCTTGAATTGCCTTAAAGGAGATCCTAACGAAAACGGTTTCACGAGAAGTCCACTCCTATTACACGTACGGTTTTTTTTTGGCGTTTACCAGCGCAATCTTCTTCTCTGCGCGCAACTGGTTTGGTTGCGCACGCCACCTAATTGTGTAAAAAATCGCAAACTAATTTTTTTCTTCTTCTTTTTTTTTATTTTATTTTTTCAGATTTGGCTCATGGAGCGCTTGCGAATTGTTGATCAGCCACAAAACCTTGAGGCTAACGGAGTAAAGACATTCCTTGGACGTCAAATCCTTTATAAGAATAAGAATGAAGAGGAATGGACGTCGCTTTTCTGTCATGGGGTTCCTAACATACGTTTTGTGATTCCTTGGTGGAACATAAATAGTATGATTGGGAATAGTCTCAATTGCCCTTACATTAGGCTTTTAGGCATATCTAGTACTACTTATATTTTTCCTTGTAGGGTGATGAGACAATACGAGATGAGACAATTTATTCCCCCGCAAGATTGTGATGCCCCTAAAGATGTGATCTTTAAACCCGAAAGAATTCCTCGTTGGATGGAATATTGGTCAAGTCTTCCTAGGTGGGTAATACAAAATCCTACCGCAAGTATTACATTAACTTCCTTTTACAAGGCTTGGATGAATGTGGCGGATAAGGGTGAATTAAACAAGGCTCGATCTCAACTTCAAGCCGCCACCGCTCGCAATCCACCTAAGCCTTTGATGCATTCAACCACTACTACTCCTCCTAGTGGCCAAAACAAAGGAGTGAGAAGAAAATTAGACTTCTCATCCCCTAAGGCTCGTTCGAAGGAAACAAAAAGGAAAGCTCCCTCCAAACACGCACAACAAGGTGTTAAAATCAAAGAACCTTTACCAAATACTCGCAAGAAAGCTCCAATAGTCAAAGGGAAAGGAAAACAGGTTGCAATGGCCCCAATCCCTAAATTGAAGAACATTGTTTGGGTGAAAAAGAAGATTGTAGGGGAGAGCTCCAAGGCTTCTGAAAATACCAGCGATGGAAACTACTTCTCCATCATCTGTGACAATCGAGGACATAGTAAAACCTTAGAGTGTTACACAATTTTATCATTAGTTTATGTGTAGGATAGCTCCCGCTGAACTATCGCCCAGCTCCCAGGGTGCGCACTCACTACCGAGAAAGCAATTAAAGGAGGGCTCACTAGCCCGGCAGAGTCAGTCCGCTGGGCTGACCAGGCTGAACTCTCCACGAAGGAGATGGTACGCCTATAAATAGAGGATAAAGTACAACGAAAAGGGGGTAAGACAATCAAGTCATTATACTTTCTACATCTTTCTAAGTACACTTTTTCTCTCTAAACACTCTCTAACTTAAGCTTCGGAGGGGGGGGTTCCTCGAGCCACCCCCGAGGGCAGTTTACGTGTGCTGCCTTGTGTAGATAGTTGACGGGACCCAGTTCACCCAGCAGAACCCTTGGATCCGCACCGGGAACAATTGGCGGTAGAAGGAGGGGTCGGATCATTTAATTTGAGGTTCACCATCTGAGCTAGGGACTAGTTAACTAACCGCCATGGCCGGAGAAGAAACTGTACAGACACCCATGTCTAAAACTAATGAGACCAGCTAAACACCACAAAAAACACCCCCAGTAACCATTGATCCAAAAGGATCCACCGGAAACCCCAAATCGACCATCTCGCAAAAATCCAACCCCACCGGATCGACATCAGCTGCTGCTAAAGCGGCGGTGAAACGAGTAGATCCGTTGGGATCCAGTTTCGTTTTCAAATACGGAATGCCATTAACAGGCGCGAATAATGAGCTCATTGTTTCAGCACCTGTAACCTAGAAACCGCAGCCCGTAAATATGCCAGCCATTCTGCAGAACCTCTCTAAGTGCAGTAAGGAGCAGCTAGCTGCAATGTCCGCGGTCCTCACCATTATGGGTAAGGGGGCAAGTCCGTCACCGGCAACGGCAGCTGCGAAGCCCGTAGTGAAAAAGCCGGCGTCCACGACCCTCACCCTTGAGCAAAAAGAGCTCATTCAGCTGAGGAAGAAGGTATTGGAGCTAGAAGCTCGTAACCTGAATCGAGAATGGAGTGTGGAGGAAATAGCCCCTGCTCGAATCAGCCCGGAGAAGCGGGTCCCCCGCAGCAGGTCACCAGCCTCAGAGTGGGAACCCAGCCCGGAGAGAGACAAGCGAGCACGAATCCATGTTGTTCCAAATGATTCCCCATTTTGCCAGGAGATTATGGAGGAACCAATGGAGAAAATAAAGATGTCAAGCTGCAAATATAGCGGAACCACAACACCCAAAAGCCACATATCATCTTTTGAGAACCACATGGTACTTTACACTATGACAAACTCAGTCTGGTGTAAGGCTTTCCCGCCGACCCTAGAGGGGCTAGCTGCGGAGTGGTATGGAGCCATTCCCAAATGTTTCGTATACTTGTACAACCAGTTGAAGAGAATGTTCATGGAGCATTTCGTAACTTTGGTAGACCGAACCAAGATGACAACCGAGCTGATGTCGTTGGTTCAAGGGAAAGACGAGCCCCTGAGGGAGTTCATCACCAGATTCAACAAGGAGGCAACAACCATCCCAAATATGATCCAGGAGGTAGCGCTACTAGCAATGCAGAGTGGCTTACTACCGGGATCACCGTTCAGAGCATATATGGGGCATAAGAGCCTCAAAACACTTGCTGAAGCGCTGGGCAAAGCGCACGAGTTCATCAAAACAGACGAGACTGATAGAGCAATGTTGGGTAGGAAAGCACCTGGTGACTCATTTAAGCGGGCAAAGGTCACCCGGGCAGAGAATACGCCCAGGGTGGACCAGCCGAGCAGGCTGAGCAAAACCGCAGAGAAGCGGACAGAGCAGTAGGACTGAGAAGGTCAGACCCAAAGAGAGGGCCAAGGCCTAAGAAGTTTGACCAATATACCCCGTTAACCCATTCCAGGTCTCATATATTCAGTGTGAACAAAGCTGATGACAAGTGGCAGAGACCCTCAAGGATGGTTAACAGAAATCGTGATACTAGCAAATGGTGTGACTTCCATAGGGACCATGGTCACACCACTGAAGAATGCACACATTTGAAGGACAACATTGAAGACTTGGTCAGGAGAAGGTACTTGAACCAGTTTAAGCAGCGCGATGACCCTCCCAGAAGGAGGGATGAGGATAGAGCGGGCCGCCCTAACCGCAAAGGAGGTCATAGGGGCCCAGCCGGAGACAGAGACATAGTCGGCAAGCCAGAAGGCAGGGTGTATGTGATCGGCGGGGGCCCAGTACATGGGGGAACAGTCAACAGAGCGCGAGCTGACCTGCGGGCGATGATACATAAAATAAACGACAATGATAAGCGTAGATGGCCACCTCTTCCCCCGCAGCCGCAGGCCACGTTTGACGAGTATGATCAGAAGGGCATAATTTACCCCCATGATGATCCGCTGGTGGTGACAATGAGAATTGCAAACTGGGAGGTGGATAGAATACTGATAGACGGGGGCAGCTCAGCCAACATCATATACATCAGTGCGTTCAACGAGCTGAAGTTGGACAGAAAAGACCTGAAGTGGGTGAGCTACGAAGTCACCGGGTTTAATGGATCAGGGCTTACCCCGGAAGGTATAATCGAACTCTCAGTCCGAGTAGGGGAAAGATCAAGAAGGCGTGATGTCCGGGCAGAGTTCCTCGTGATAAACTCCCCTTCACCCTACAATGTGATCATGGGAAGACCGCTCATCCACAAGATAGGCGGGGTGGTATCCACCTATCACCTTGCCATGGCCTACACAACTAATGAGGGACGGTGAGAAAAGCTCAGGGGAAGTCAGAAGACAGCCCAGCAATGTTACATAACCGCTTTAAAGCAGCCCGCAAAAACCAGACAGCGGCTTGGTTCTGAGAAAAGACCCCCTGAACAACCTGAGAAGAAGTCGAGGAAAAGGAAGCGTGAAGAATATCACAGGGAAAAGGATAAGCAGAAGTTAGCAATGGAGAACTTCGAGCCTGCTTAAGAGGAAATGGCCAGGCCACTTCCCAGTGGGAAGCATGTCACAGTCGAGCTCACAGAAGGTGACCCCTCAAGGACGGTGAAAATTGGGAAAGACATTGATCCCGGAGTAGGGGTACACCTCATAGAGCTACTGAGGAAAAACAAAGACGTTTTCGCATTTTCCGCAGATGAGATGCCCGGAATTGACCCAGTAGTCATGGTACACAGGCTGAATGTGAAGGAGGATATTAAGCAAGTTAGGCAGAAAAAACGAAGCTTCTCCACGGGGAAAAACCAAGCAATCTAGGAGGAGGTGGAGAATCTCCTGGAAGCAGGATTCATTAAACCTTGTGACTACCCAGAGTGGTTAGCCAACGTGGTCATGGTAAAGAAAGCAAATGGCTAGTGGAGAATGTGTGTTGATTTCATAGATCTTAATAAGGCCTGCCCGAAGGACTGTTACCCGCTGCCGCGGATAGATCAGTTGGTAGACTCAACCAGCGGGCATGCCCTGCTAAGCTTCATGGACGCTTTTTAAGGGTACCATCAGATCAGCCTGCATGAGCCAGACAGGCAGAAAACTGCATTCATCACTGAAGGGGGAGTGTATAATTACATAGTTATGCCCTTCGGGCTGAAGAATGCTGGGGCAACTTTTCAGAAGGCAATGGATAGAGTATTCCTTCACCAGAAGGGTAGAAATGTTGAAGTATACGTTGACGACTCAATTGTTAAGAGCGTCACGCAGGCTGAACATATCATGGATCTGGAGCAAACATTTGCCACCCTGAACAAATATAAAATCAAACTCAACCCGAAGAAATGTGTCTTTGGGGTGAGCTCGGGAAAGTTCTTGGGGTTTTTTTTATCAGCGAGAGAGGGATAGATGTCAATCCAGAAAAGGTTGAAGCAGTCCTCAGCCTGCCTGAGCCTAAGTGCATCAAGGATATCATGCGGTTGACAGGCAGAATGGCCACGCTGACTACGTTCATCAGCAAGTCAGCGGATAAGGCCCTGCCGTTCTATCAGCTATTGAAAGGGAACAGAGAATTTAAGTGGGGGGCTAAAGAGAAAGAAGCCTTTGAGGGCATTAAGGAGCATATGACTAAGCTCCCAACAATTATCAGCCCGGAGCTGAGGGAAAATCTGCAGCTGTACATCTCTACGTCAATACAGACAATCGCAACCTTTTTGTAGGTAGAAAGACAAAAGCAACAAAGGCCAATATACTTCGTGAGCCACATGCTGACCGAGGCAGAGCAAAGGTACCCATTGGTAGAGAAGCTAGCCTTCGCAGTGGTCACAGCAGCAAGGAAGCTAAATCCATATTTTGACGCGCATGTAATAGAAGTCCTCACAAACCACCCGTTGGAGAAAGCATTACAAAAAATGGATGCATCGGGCAGACTCTTAAAATGGGCAATTGAGCTTTCTGAGTACGAATTCGAGGTCAAACCTAGAGCAGCCATCAAGGCACAAGCTTTAGCAGACTTCATAGTGGAAGCTTCCTACGAGGAGAAAGAAGATGATATTGGGGTCTGGAAGGTGGAAGTGGATGGGTCCTCGGCCCAAACGGGGAGTGGAGCAAGAGTCATAATGACATCTCCAGAAGGAAACGTATTCGAGTATGCCATAAAGTTCAAGTTCAAAGCATCGAATAACGAAGCTGAGTACGAAGCGGCGCTGGCAGGCCTGCGAATGATCCTCGCAGCCGGAGCCCGTAAAGTACACCTGCAAACTGATTCTCAGCTCGTCGCCAGCCAACTACAGGGGGCGTATGAGATAAGGGAAGCCACCATGCTGAAGTACGTAACCAAGGTAAAGGAACTGGCAGCCCAGCTAGTCCACTTCCAGATAGACTTGGTCCCCAGAGCAAGAAACTCTCAGACTGACGCCTTATCCAAGTTAGCCAGCTCCACTTTACAAATCCTAACAAGGACGGTGATGGTTGAAGTACTAGAAGAAAGTAGCATTGCCGAAAAAGAGCAGGTAAACTGCATTAGAAGGTAGAGAGCCTAGTTCTCAAACATCTTGGCGTACAAAGTTCACGGCTCACTGCTCGATGATGAAGTACAGGCTAAGAAGGTGAAGAAAGACGCCAACTGGTATGTAGAGATGAACGGCGAACTCAACAAAAAGGGCTTCTCAAAACCACTGCTGAGGTGTATTCCAGAGTGGGAGCAGGAGGACATTATGGAAGAAGCCCACTCCGGAATATGCGCCAACCACATTGGTGGAAAAGCAATGGGAGTAGAGGTCCTCAGAAGGGGGGCATATTGGCCAACTCTCGCACAAGACGCACTAGCATATGTAAAAAAATGCGACAAGTGTCAAAAGTATTCACCAGTCATAAATCAGCAAGCAAACGATCTAACTCCAATCCTTAGCCCGATCCCGTTCGCTCAGTGGGGAATGGACATATTGGGACCTTTCACCACTGCGTCAGCGGGTAGGAAGTACCTCATTGTGGCGATAGATTATTTTACAAAGTGGATAGAAGCCGAACCCACTAAGTACATAAAGGCAGCCCAAGTCAGGACATTCATATGGAAAAGCATCATCATAAGATTCGGGGTGCCACATTGTATACTCTTTGATCACGGGTGTCAATTTGACTGTGACACCATAAAGGACTACTTGGCTGATCCAGACAGCCCTGCAGAAGAAGCTGGAGGAGTACAAAGACCTGTGGGAAGACCTGGTCCCAGAGGTCTTTTACGCAAACAGGACCACTGAGAAGGAGTCAACCGGTAAGAGCCCCTTCAACCTGGCCTACGGGGCTGAAGCAGTTGTCCCAGTGGAAGTGCAAATCCCCAGCCTAAGGATACACCACTATGAGTAGCAAGGAAATGAAAAGCGTATGCTGAAAGAGCTAGACTTCCTGCCAGAAGTAAGGCTGAAAGCAGCTCTCAAGTTGGCAGCCAGAAGAGCAGGATTTCAAAAGCTTTCAACAAGAGGGTCAAGCATTGGGAGCTCCTGCCCGGAGACTTGGTCCTTAGAAGGACATCAGTAGTTGGAAGAGGAAATCAGCAAGGAAAGCTATCAGCAAACTGGGAAGACCCTTTCATCATTCACGAGCAAGTTGGACCAGGAGCGTTCCTCCTTGCAGATCAAGAAGGTTAGGTCTTAAGAAACAGTTTCAATGCGGATGTGTTAATGAAGTATTTTGTTTAAAAAACAAACATAGTTTTTTCAAGTCTGATAAACTTTTATTCAGTCCATGTTATGTTAATTAAGGCATTTGAGCCATTTTTATTAAATGAAATACAAGCCTCTACGTGAGGAGTATGCTGCGTAAATTTGTTTAATATGTTATGCCCAAGTATCATATGTTAACATGCAGAAGTCAAATAAAGACAATAACAAAGTGTTAGAGGCAAGAAGCACTCTAGCCCAAAGTGGCAAAGCAAACACATCCCTCCCCAAAACTTCACCTCACCTGCTCACAGCAAAACAGGGCACCACCTCGGGGACGCCTGAGGGGGAAGCCTGATACGTTCAGCTTGAGCAGGAGAGAAAAGGAAAAAAGAAGAAGATGAGCTATGTGGGCAACACTAAGGCTCTCTTAGTCCCAATTAGCTCATCTCTTTGAGGGGGAGAGGAAAGGAGAAGACAACCAGACAATAAGCCCATACGAAAAGAAGTAAGTAGGCACAAAAAGACAAAGTCGCAGCATAAACAAGCTAAACGACATAAATAAGTCACAGCAAAACAAGTTGAATGATAACTCACAAAATGACAAAGTCGCAGCATAAACAAGCTGAACGACATAAATAAGTCACAGCAAAACAAGCTGAATGACAACTCACAAAATGACAAGTCGCGACATAAGTAAGCTGATCGACACAAATAAGTCTCAGCAGGGATGCCCAACCTACGAGGCCCCACCAAATGCAATAAAAATGCTGCAGCACTAAAAGATCTGGATACTGCTAAGAAATGCATAGTTCCTGGCAAATGTGCAAACAATAAAATAAACAGCAGGCGAAGCAGCAGAAGAAGATCATAAAAGCATACATTATAAAGCTGAACCTCTGCCCCCCAGGGCAGAGTAAACATTCAGCAAGACAGTCGCGGGACAAATGAAGCCGAGCCCTCGTCCACCAGGACAAGGAAACACTCAGCAGGTAAAGTTAGGAGAACACAAATTCAAGTTAAGCTGGGCAGACCAAGCAACAAAAGACAAAGTATTCAGGAATTACACAGAGAAACATAATCTTTGGCAGCTATACACCCCAAAGATAGTAACAAAAACTACCTAGTTACAACAGATCTGGGTGAGGGAAACTCAGAGAAACCACTAGAGTAGGAGGGTGACAGCCGCCATAACCTTTATTGATCACCAGTCAAGGACTCCACTCCGATAGCTGCAGCAACGTCAAGGCAGAGAGGCACCTCCAAGTTCAGCACAGCCTGATTGGGAATCTTGCAGCCAGCAGCACGAGGATGATCATCAGGGAGGTCAAGGTCAAACAAGCCAGCCTAACCTGCAGCTTCAACCTTAGCCTAGAAAGCGCTGAAGCGAGCCTGCTGCTTCTCACCTTCACCATATAAGCTGCTAACGAAACGAGCCGCAGCCTTCCATCCACCATCATAGCGATCAGCCAATAGCTTAGCAAAAGCAGGAGAGAGCACAAAAGATCTGAGAGCCTCTTTCCTAGTCGCTTCTAGCTCAACAGTATGCGCAGCTCGCAAATCTTCCATTTCTACCTCCAACGTCTTCACCCTGTCCTGAGAGGTCCCCAACTATTCCTTGCAGCTCTTCAACTTGGTCTGAGTGAGCTGAAATTCTCCTAACTGGAGCTGCAGGGCATCCGCCCTCTGCCTCAGCGGAGTCACCTCACTGCCCATGGCATCCATATCAGCCTGAGCTCACTGGACCTCCAAATTCCTCTGAGAGAGAATTATGCCCTGATTCTGATACTCCTTCTCCACTGACAGTAGAGCGTTGGACAAATCTTCCACAGGCATAACCAGGTGCAAGAAAAGCAGAGGAAGAGAAGGGTGAGCCAAAGCGAGAGT